AAAAAAAACACTGAAAAACACAATTTTATTTCTAAGAATTGAAGGAGATGTAATGTAGTCTTTATAACATTCTGAAACATTTTTCAAATGTTGCAGTAAGAATGTACCTCTGTTGTTAATATGTAACATTGCAAGAGTGTTTTAAAAATAGCATAGTATAATATGAGGCCTTAATATCATCCTGAAAACATTTTCCAGATATTACTTTGGAAATGTTCTTCATGTGATGTCATTTAAGATTGTGGGAACATTTTATGAAATAACATTCTGTAATCTGCTACCTAAACATTGTCCCCATAATATCCTCCCAATGTTATAGGCAACACAGTCTTCCTTTGTTTACATATCACATTACAGAAACACTCTGTAAAAAACGTTTTGTAATCTGGGGCATATATAACATCTTAAGAGCATTTTCAAAATGTTGCAGGAAGAATGTTCCTCCTTTATTATCACTTAACATTGTAAGAATATTTTTTTAAATAACATAATGTAATCTGAGCCCCTTATAACATCCTTAAAACATTTTCTGAATGTTGCTTTGAGAATGTTGTTTTCTTTCAACATCATAAGAATGTTTAATAGAAGAACAATCTATAACCATGAACACAACAACATCCCCAAAACATCCTCAGAATGCTGAAGACAAATGTTCCACCTTTGTGAACATGTCACATACCAGGAATGTTTTAGAAAAAAACATTGAGTAATCTGAGGCATCAATAACATCCTGAAAACATTTTCAAAATGTTGTTTTAAGAATGTTCCTCTTTTATTATCATATAGCATTGTAAGAATGTTTTAAAAATAAGTAATCTGAGGCTTTAAGAACGATTTGAAAACATTTTCAGAATGTTTCTTTGTCAATGTCCTTCCATTCTTATCATGTAACATTGTGGTAATGTTTTGGAGAGGACCATTCTATGATCGCTTATCTCAACAATATGCCCAAAGCATCTTTAGAACGTTGCACCTAAAACATTCTGTCATGGTTAACATATAACAATACAGGAATATTATTTGAAATACTAATGTTTTTATAGTTTTCTTTGAACATTACATTGAAATGTTTTTTAAAAAACTTTAAGAAAACCTATAGGGAATGTTAGCCAAACTTGTGGGAACATTGGCTGCTAGCTGGGTTGCCACCTGCGTACATGACACGCACTCACCACTTAGGAAGAGAATGGAAAGCATGACCAAAGTAAGTCACACTTGCCTCACATGCTCGTCTTGACGTACTGACAGCATAAATCAGTTTGACATGATTTTCAAAAAACAAAACAAAAACCAAACAGAGACACTTTGGCAATCAGGTGATACGCTGTCTTGTAAATTCTATGAACATACTGACAGGGTTTGAGCTTAAGGACATCACGTCGCCCTGGGGCAAAAAAAAATTTAAAAAAAGATCCAAGACGATACAAACTGATTTCAGGACAAAAACTTAAAACAAACGGTGATGAAAACAAATATGATTTCATGTTTTGTGTAGCACACACACAGATCCTGACAATTTTGTGGTGACAGCTGGCCTGTAATGTTACTGTCACCCCTGGTACTGACTTCCAGCATGATACCGGCCCGCAGCATCTCCAGTGAGCCGACCCACTCCTCCTCCACCGTGTGTGTGTGTGTGTGTGTGTGTGTGTGTGTGTGTGTGTGTGTCCAGCTCCTGTCAGTCTGTATCAGGCTGGACAGTCAGTAACTTAACTGACTCTTAAGTGATAACAAGAGGACACTCAGCTCAGAAACAGTGAAGTCGGATCAAAAGTGACTCTAGTCTTAAATCTTTTCACATGGATTTGTAGAAAATCATGCTGCTGCTTCAAACATTGAAATGAAGTCTTGCTTGCAAAGGTAGATTTACTTATAGCAATACAAAGCTGATTATAATATGGTAGATCTATTATTTGTTTGAAGCAACGTGAGCATGCGGCGTGAGCGCGCCTTTTATACTTCTGGCGTGTGATGATGCACTCCCGCAGTGCGTTCAATTTTGTTCAGGAGTTGTGAGTGCGTGTGCCAGACTTAACACACAAGGGGCACTTGCTTCCTCATTGCATGAGACGTACATCTTAGACCATGGATTTTCTTCCCATGGTAGCTTAAAAACTGCACATCTCACTTACAAACTCCTTGCAGGGGAAGCAGGTTACATTTGCAGCGTCGCTGTTCTCAGAGAATTCGTAAAATTTCTTAAATGTGTCAAAAATCCTCCATATGTGCTTACGGGCTGTCTGCGACCTCAAAATTTTGCAAGACGGACTTGTGTGACACGTGCCATTCTGCATGTAATTTAGATGCAGACAGGCTGTCGGAGCCCGTACAACCGGTTGTGACCGAGGCTTTAGTGTAAGTTCTGAGTGGTTTCATTGTGATGTTTTACATCATAATCCTGTCTGAGACTAAACTGATTTTAGATTCTCTATCAAAATATAAAAACATGTTGTACAAGTGTAGCAGAGTGTGTCTCCCTCTAGTGGATGCTTTGGACTTTTCTGTTGTCTTTGTTCCAAAGGTTTTTGTACAGAGTATTGCTGCTTCCTCTCACTGTGGGCTCCAGAGCACAGTAGTACACAGCAGAGTCTGTCACTGCAGCAGAGGAGATCTGCAGATGAAACTTCTTTGATTGTTTGTCATGTTTGAAAGACAGTCTTTTCATTTTCTCTGAATGTTCTGCAATGAGAAATTGTGGAGATGAACTGGACTTCTGTTGGTACCAGTAGAGGCTTCTGACAGAGCCTGAATAGTTGCAGGAGAGAGTCACAGTGTCTCCTTCCAAAGCCATCAATAC